CTGTTAGTTGGTAAATAATAGGTAGTTTTTATTCATTCAAACAATTTCTTGCGTGACAATAGCTTGATGTTAAATAATAGGTAGTTTTTATTCATTCAAACAATTTCTTGCGTGACAATAGCTTGATGTTAAATAACAAAGAAAAGGACAGGAAAGGTTTGATCATGAAATAACAGTTAAGATGCACCAACCCCTTGTATCTGCACACAACTGCTTGATCAAATAACAAGTCAACATCTATCAGAATAATGCAAAGGGGTATCCAGTTGTTTGACTTTGAAATGGGAGGAGAAGATAGTGCAACCCATCTGGAAATTTCCCTATTGGATTTTTTTTTACAAGAAGAAGAAGAAGAAGAAGAAATTTCATTAAGTATGTACAGCAAACCTTCAGGAGGAGGATCTTAGATGTAACAATATAGAAAGACATTTAGGGCAAGCAGACGGTTAAGAGACTAACAACTCCCAGATGGAAGGATGGAGAGTTTACATATATTTTAATAATTATGTTGCCTGACTTTGTTTATGTAGCATTTTAGAAATGATGTATTGAGAGATTAAGCACAGTTATCTGATTTTTTAGAAAGAAAAAAGTGTGAGTCGACAGAAACCTCCAAACACTTTTTTTAAAACCCTGAATTTCAATAGCACCTATGCTTAGTGGAGTAAGACTATGTAGTGCAGGGATGTCAAACTTGTGTTGACAACTGCCGTGACGTATCACAACTTTTCCCCCCTTTGCTAAACCAGTGGTGGACGCGGCCAGCGTATGACGCATTCGGGCCATGCGTTTGACACCTCTGATGTAGTGCACGATAGTCAATCTTTTAATTTAGAGGTCACAATTGACACAAACATAGGGTTTAATCAAACCTCCGCTCCTATTAGTATATTCAGCTCTGCATCCTTCCCTTTGCTTCAGCAGACACAAACACAACATAAAATTGGTATTAAATAGCTTTGATTACATCAAAATATGAGGTACTTGTAGGAATCTGTCCTTTATTGGTATTAAAACAAAAAAAGATCTTGATGGTGCATTTTCAGAAAAGATGTTTCGAAATGAAGTTCTGCCAAGGCTTTTATTCCTGATAACCAAACGAATTTAAAGGTCATTGCAAGAATTAGTAAAGATGCTTAAAGAAAACCCCCTCACTATGTTCTCACTGCAGGAGAAACTAGAAACAATGATAATTTCCTGTGGTTTGGAATGGTATCAGTGTATACACAAATAAGATCAGCAGATGGCAATAGGTGGCTGAATTTCTGTGAGCTTCGAAGCTAAGCAGGGTTGGGCCTTGTTTCTCCTTGGGTAGGATTCTACCAAGGAATGTCAGCTTATAGACTTGAATACTGGAAAGTTAAAGAAAAGTGGCAAAAGGTGGTAAGGGTGAACCACTTCCAATCCCCCCACCCATGACATGGCCATGTTTATGAAATCATCAGGAGTTAAATCTATCATGAAGGAGACTTCACCTTACATTTTTGCATATATCTTTAGAAATGCTGAGTTTACTGAACATCTTGAATAACTCTAACCCCAAGCCTCTCATTTAATTTTTCCAAAATTGCCACATCTTTCCAAACATTAATCAGTCATCATTGTGCCATCAGAAAATCTTTAATAAGGTATTACAATGAATTCAGAATAGAGTTTTTCAAACTTGGCAACGTTAAGATGTGCAGACTTCAACTCCCAGGATTCCCCAGCTGCCATGCCAGCTGGGGAATTCTGGGAGTTGAAGTCCACACATATCGTTGCTAAGTTTGAAAAATGCTGATTTAAAAGAAATATTGTTCTATGGCAATTGTGGCAATTAAATGTGGGTTCAAGGAGTATGACTGTTTAACCGTTGCCTTCACAATGTAGCCTTGTCCTTGCCTTGCAAAATTCCAGCAAAATTGCCTTAGATGTCTCCTCTCCATATCAGCTCTGACTCAGTATATTTTATATAATCCTACATTGTCAAAGATGTTCAAACTCCTGAATGTGTTCCATAAGATCAAAATTTTAGAAAAAGATAAGACCTCAAAAGTGCATCGGCCATTATTTTATCATATTTTAGATTACATAAAAATCCCACTTCATCATGCGGTAAGCCTGACTGAAATGATTAGACTACTGGCCTTCTTCTGATCCATTCTGTTGGTAGGAATGTGCTTCATGTGTAAATATCAATCTAAATTTAAGGAGTGACTATATACATTTAATGTGCAGGAAATTTCATATGCTTAAAGTAATAAATCTGGATAGGAATGCTGGCAGGTAACTCCTGTTTGTAGTGAAAGATACATTTAAATACAAATAACTAAGCACTAAAGTTTACTTAAATTTCTATTGATTTTAGCTCATGCAGAACTTTTGCTGCATCTCAATACTGGGAAGTGAGATGCTAAGTAATGCAATTACAGCGTAAAGTTCCCTCAAGTTACAATTAACTTTGACCTTTCCCTAGATGAAAGTCACAGATGGTGCCAAGAGCAGAAGGAAGGTGCTGAAATGTGGCCAGAGATCCCGTGGCTTTAAAATTTTCATAAAGTCTTTAAATTCTTTGGAGATATTGTAATATAGTTTATCTTGCATAATGCCCATTTTATTAAACTTTGAAGTTTGGAGTGGAGCCAACTTGAGCTTGATCCATATGGCGTGTATGCATTCTGAGTCTGAGTCCTTAATGTTTAATATAATGGAGCCATGTGTAGGAGATTGGATCTCTTCCAAACTCAAACAAATACAACTGGTCTGGTCACCTCTGAGCTTCTGTCATCATGGTGTTGGTAAATGCATAGGGAATTTCTACAGGCGCTTCTGGACAAGAGCAAAATTAAGAAATGGGGAATGCATGGGTAGATGCATGTGAGGTTATATGGTAAAAATTCCTATATTTTTTTTCAGGAAGCCCAGTTTTCTTGAATAGAAGTGAATCTAGATGTCCTTTTATGATTTGTTATGGCCACCTAGTGCAGTGTTTGTCAACCTTGGCGACTTTCAGTCCTTTGGACTTCAACTCCCAGAATCCCCCAGCCAGCATA